CCGTGTTGGGCGAGGCGGTCGCTTTGCCACAATGGTACGGTCGTGCTGCCACGATGGTATTGCTGCTCACTCGTGGCAGTTTTCCTGCCCGCTCTGCGTGGGTGGTGAGTACCACGCGTGTCCAGTCGCTGTAGTTCCTGGAGTAATATAGAATCTTTCCTATCAATGCCCTCGTGCCAAGCTGTGTGCTGCGCGCCAAAGTCTTCGTCGTTCCACTGTTGGTGCCCGCTGGGTTTTGCGCGCCGTGGTCTCTGCCTTTCCGAAGCTCGTGCCCGACGTGACATGTGCTGTGTTTCCTGTCACGGATCAAGATCTCCGCCTTTTCAATGCTGTTGCACGCTGTGTTTTCCGTTGCTGGTGCCCCGACTCGACATGTGCTACGCTTCCCACTGTCGTTCGATCTCCGACTTGGACAGACTCTTTCGCGTGTATTGCGCCTTTGGCACGGATTGGGCTTGATGACTGGATTGTTGTCCAGATTCCACGGTCGTGTGTTATCCTCTCTCGGATGTTTCCTGTTCCCCTCCGTCCAGTGTAGGGCTGTGTTTCTGAGGGTCATTTGTAGGGCTGTGTTTCTCGCTGTTGTGTAGGGATGGTTATCTGCTCCATTTCATTGACCTCTGATTTTCGCCTTTGACAGTGCTCCGCTGTTTTGTTGTCGCAGACACGTCTCGTGCATGGCTTGTGGTGTGCATGCTATACCACGACAGGCTTGCAGCACAACCTTGGAAAGCATGGACTGTGTGGCGTCTAATACAATGCTGAATGAGGATTTTCCTCCACCGCACCTGCCAATGCGTTCACAAGATGTTCGAAGTGGTCACGAACCTGTCGATAATGCTCCGGAATCTCCTGCTCATAAGAGGTCACGAAATATTGCGTGTGCGGACACTACATGTGAAAGTGCGTGTCCCGTCCTTCGATGCCCGGTTCAAACCTGTGATGCAGAGAGTGCTGAAGGTTAGGAGGGTAGGGCCTCCTCTACTGACAACGGCGCATCCGATGTAGATCGTGTTGTATGGGAGGAGTTCACTTCGAGATTTTGAGTACACAGGTCTTCTGTTTGGTGAGAGTGATGAAGATGGTTCAGATTCGAGTGCATCGGTGTCGTCTAGTGCTGATAGTTCTTAAGATAAAACCGATATTCCGCAAACATACGATGACCGGAACAGTGACCACTGTTGTCAAAATGACGATGAGAATTGTGACGTGATCTCTGATTTCGATGATATTTTTTCAAAATGTCTGTCCTCGGAGAACCGTCCTTATACTTTTCGTTTCAGAATGCCGCGGTCAAAGAAGATTCTGCAATCAGTTCATAGAAAACTCACCAAAAAAACATTGGCGAGTGTGCGTGGGCAGGTGTCCTGTAAGCGAGAGTGTTGCGCTCAAATGACCCTAGACGACATCAAAGCTGTCCGGAGCGCATAATACTCTAAGAACCAGCAGAGCAGGGATGCATGGTGGGTTGAAACGTTGAAGAGGTTCACCTTCATAGAAGATGAAAATGAGATTGTTCAACCTATTGTGGGGAGACGAAAGGTGTGCATTAGTGCTTGGTGTTTCACACTAGGTGTATGTAGGAATACATTTCTCAAAAAAAGGATGACTTTGTCAAAAGGCTACAATATGCCGGAGCATGGCAGTACTGGACTCAGACGCACATCAGCAACATATGCGACGCTGTACGGGAAACTAAGCTCCTTCGTGCGAGACAACGAAGATTCTATGCCCAATAACATGAAGATCAAAGAGGGGGAATCGAGAGTGGTGTTGAGTTTGCCTGCTTGCTATAACAAGGTTGATATTTATAAGTTGCTAAAGTCGCAATTCGACAACATGGATGCTCCTTGTGTTTCTCTCCAAGTTTTTTACAACATGTGGAGAACGCAGTTCTAACATGTGAAATTCCATGACATTGATCAAAACTTTGCGAAATGCGAGAAATGTGTYGAATACAAAGAATCTATCAATTCCGCAAAGTTCGTGCGTGTGCGTGAGTACTTTGTTTCGTTACGCGAGAAACACTTGGACTTGCAGCTCCAACATCGTGCTGCGTATGAGGTGTGGAAGAATGAGTCGAAGAGACCGGGTTCCAACAGTTTGTGCATCATCATTGACGGCATGGACCAAAGCAAGACCAGCATTCCACACTTTGGCGGAGAGAACAAATCGAAGGCATTCGCAAATATTCCGATGTTGAAAACGAATCTAACAGTTATTATTGCACACGGCCGCTCACCATCGGTCTATGTTCACACATGGTACACTTGTTATCCACATAATTCTAATGCTGTAGTGTCATCCATTATGAAAGTTCTTCGTGACATCCAGGCGACGAGCGACTTGCCTCCTAAACTGAGGATACAAACTGACAACTGTTGGAGAGAAAACAAAAACAGATACGTTTTTGCACTCGTTGCAGCTTTGGTGAAATTTGGCTTCTTCAAAGAAGTCGAATTCGCACACACATACGGACGTTGATGTCACTTTCAGTCATTTCTCTCGCAAATTGAAAATGCACGGTGCATATAACATGCTCGACCTCTTGAAGCTCGTTTCCAGTTCTCAAAAAGAACGTCCATCGTGCACATTCATGGATGAAATTACTGATTGGCGAGTTGCTGTTAAGCCCTTTCTGGTCAAGAGACTGACCGGTCATACTCGTCCACATGCATTTAGGTTTTATATGCAGGATGACAATCCTGTGTTCCAGTGGAAAGAGTATTGCACTTCTCCTGAATGGTCTGCTCCAGTCAATTGCTTTAAACGAGATGGAAACAAAGCATATGCTGGACCCGAATGGTCATTCGTGCCATCACCTGTTCCGCCGTCAGCTTCTCTGCCTACTAAAGATAGGAATTTGGATTTCGAATCAGAAATTGAAGGTGTGAAGACGTTTGTTGGGTGGTTGGAGAACAAGCGGCACGAGTGGTTGGGAATGAAAAATGAGGTTAGCTTCTCAAAGGAGAGTGCTCTTTCACACTGAAAAACATTCCTCGAGACAGTCGAGGAGCATTACAAGTCTGGGTTTGCGAAAACTTCACTCAAGGCTGATTTCTGGCCCTCACAAGATAAAATTAAGAAGGATGATCCAGATGATATTGATATTGCCTTCCTCTTGAAGAGCAATGAGAATAAGAAGTCGTTGTTCGTTGGACCGGCAAATGAGCGTCCGAACGCAGAGCTCAACCCAGTTGTGGATGTCGAAAAAGGTCAATTCGTTCTCTTGCGTCCTTCCTAAGATGATATCGATGAGGGAGTTCATGTATGGATGGGTAGAGTCATTTCCGATGTAGACAACAATATGAAGTCGTCAACTTTCAATCATATTTTTATTGAATATTGGGTGCCACAACCTATTGCTAAACGTCTTTCTATGCAATATTCGAACGCACGAAAGAAGACGTGAAAGAAAGACAACACAACATCACAGCAGTGGCTGCATGTAGACTATGTTGTGTGGAGCTGGACATCAAAGACATTGCATTTACAAAATGGAGTGCACATTCCAAAATCGGCCAGAGAGAAGGCCTTGGTATGTCTTTCACTTCCCGATAATGAAGATCAGTAGGTTTTAAATAGGTTTTGAAGAAGAGCTAATCATATTTATTTACACGTATTAGTACGTTATTTAGTTGTCATTGAGCTTTCATTTATATATATTTAAACTGTATTTTCATGTGTTGCAGAATGGTTCAACCATTTGTGACGACTGGATGACCGTCAAGTAACATAGTGTGGGGAAGAAATATATGGCATGATATGGGTCCAGTTTTTTTCACATCTGAAGTGATCTTTGACAGTGCAGTACTTAGTGTTAGAGGTGTGGATGCCCCACCGGAAGACTGGGAACATTCTCCTTGAGAGTCACTGTATATTTGTGGTCGGAGGTGTTGTGGAACGAGAACATACCCGCGAGAAGTGCTCGCACCCTTTTCGGAATTGTATTATTCATCAGTCAAATTCTGCCATAACAATTTCAACGTGATGACCTTGTTTTGTGCAGCGGCAACTGTTCGAGGTCAGTGCAAAGTATCTTTCCTTATTCATAATGACTATTTTGCAAGTGCAAG